AAAAAAAAATGTTTTTACATAAAACAATACAGTGTCTCATCCAACTCTCAGGGATTTTAAAAGGTGTGACCCACCTTACTAAGATCTTTGGCAGTGACACTATCGTCATCCCGGCAGGGCAAGCGATGGACAAATGCTAACATCTGATACTTGGCTCTGATGAATTCTGCTTTAGTGGGACTGGTCAAAAACAAAAAAGAAAACAGTTCACTTGCAGTTCAGACATGACACTCCCCATTCTTTGGACTGTAAAAAGAAGAGGAAGTGACCCACATCCCCCACTTGAGAATAAAACGAACAAGGCTGAAATGAGTTTCAGCAGTGCTCAAGACCTGAAGTCTGAAAACATACATTAGTCATTATAAATGGCTGGGACTGCAAAAATCTGCTTTTTATAGCATCTTTCTTCTCTGTGTAATTTTCTTAATTGACTGCAACCTTGGGAGGAGGCAGCATTTAGTCCCATCTTATAGGTGAGGCATAAGGCAGACTGGTGTCTAGAACCTAGATTTCTGGTCTGACAGCCTCTTCTTTGAGTGCCTGAGTTTAAATCTGATTACATCTACAGCCTCCAACCCTCGGTCTCTTAACTGGAGAAATCATTAACTCTTGTCTAGGGGCCATGCAAAAGAAATGATCCCACCTGCCTCTGCTGAATTTCTACCAGCAAAGAGCCCAATGCACAACTGGGGTAGCCGCCTCCTGCACTGCCTTCCTGGAGGCTGATCAAAAATAGCTGCACTCCTCTCAGTGGAGTCCCATTTGTTACAAAGAGATAGAAGTATTTATAAACATTCCACTCACTGTACTTTATCCTGTGGATTAGCTTTTCTTCTTCCACTCATAATAGAAGCAGGGTCCAGCAAAGAATGCTCCCATATAGAATTAGCACCATTGTTATACAAGGTCTCAACCATCTAAAACCAAGCAGTACGAAATCACATTTTAATTTCTTTCTACAAATAGTGACAGGATTAGGAAAACAAAGCCCCATCACAAATACCAACATGTTTGGGAATTTCACTCATATCATTGTTTTCTGATTTTAGAATGAGAAGAGGAACCTGTATGCAAAATTTAGCTTTGGTGGGAAGGACAGCTAAATCCCTAAGTGGGTTTGATTGTTATATAGTTACATATTGAAGGAAGACTAACTTTGACACTTAGCACAGTGCTTCCCAACACTGAACAAATACTATTTTACTCACTTACTATGTTATTTGCTTAACATTTTTCTTTAAATCTACCCATTTAAAAAAACTTTCATTAACAATTATTTTCTGATATACTAGTTATAGTTTTCTTCTACACGTTAAAATAACACAACCATTAAAATAATTATATGAGTATTTCTTACATGTGTCTTGAGTACCACTGGCAGCTTATGGTCCATACTTTGGAAATTGTTGCTCACACTGTAAACTACTCATCTCTGGACTTAATTCAGTAATACAGTCTGGCTTTACCTACCCCCTTTCACATGAGAATGAGCTATTGGAAACTTCAAAGCAAATGATTTCAATGAGCCACATCTCCCGATTTCATTTTTAAATCAGGACTCCTAGGTGGGCATGGTGGCTCACATTTATAACTCTAGCACTCTGGAAGGCTAACGCAGAATGATTGCAAATTTGAGCCCAGCCTGGGCAACTAGTGAGACCCTCATCTCAAAAAAATAAAAAGGGTTAGGGATGTAGGTCAGTGCAAAGGCCCTGGGTTCAATATTCAGTACTACACACACACACACAAAGCAGGACTCCTAAAATGGCCCCATTCGTTTTTTACAATCTTAGAGATATTTCATATCAGAGATCCAAACCCAGTTGTTTTTGGTCCCTTGGTTCATTCAGACGAGTTTAAGGGACATGCTATCCATTTGCCACAGATTTAGTGAAGTGTGTATTCAAGACAAATGAAGGAAGGTAAAACACACACTTAATCCTGAGTTCCAAGAGAACTTGAAGAATGTGTACCCCAAATCGAAATACAAGTAACATGACATCGGGCCCCAAATAAGACCAAGAGCCCACTTAACACTGAACAGAGACATAGTAACTTAATCTGATTTCTTTCTTTCTTTCCTTTTTTTTTTTTTGACACAGGGTCTTGCTATGCAGTTCAGCCTGGGCTTGAACTATGTAGCCCAGGGCTAGCCTCGAACTCCTGGCAATCCTCCTGCCTCAATGAGTGCTGGGATTACAGGCATGTGCCACCACGCCTCATCCACTTAATCTGATTTCTGATCAATAACAAAAGGTTTTTATTGTTGTTCTGTAGTACTGGGGACTGAATCTATGGAATCGAGCATGTACTCCAGCACTCTATCACTGAGCTACATTCGTAGCCCTTTTTATTTTCAGGTAAGGTCCCCCTGTGTTGCCAGGGCTGGGGTTGAACTTGCAATACTCCTGCCTCGGCCTCCTGAGAAAAATGGAATTACATGTGTGTACCACCATATCCAGTTTTTTAGTTTTTTGTTGTTTTTTTTTTGGTATCGGGGATCGAACTCAGAACCTTGCGCTTGCAAGGCAGGTGGTGGAACCACTGAGCTAAATCCTTGGCCCACCATATCCAGTTTAACTACAATTTTTGGTTTTTGTTTTTGTTTTTTTGGTACCAGGGATAGAACTCAGATCCTTGTGCTTGCGCAGCAGGCAGCGAAACCACTGAGCTAAATCCCCAGCCAGTTTAACTACAGTTTTAACAAAACTTCACTTGATCTTAGACAAAAGGCCAAGAAGCAATAGATTTAACAAAACTTAAATTAGGTGTTTCAGAAATGTTTGAGGGTGGGATTTAGCTCAGTAGCACTGAGCCTGCCTCGAAAGCACAAGGTCCTGAGTCCAATTCCCAGTACCAAAAAAAAAAATGTCTGAGGAATCCCAAGCCATTCTTCTGTTAAAGTGAGAAAAAACATGTTCTTAAAATATTAGCAAAGGGGCCAAGGATTTAGCTCAGTGGTTCCGCTGCCTGCCTCACAAGCGCAAGATCCCAAGTTCAATCCCCAGTACCAAAAAAAATATATATTATTAGCAAGATACTGAAGAATAAGTACATTAATTAAGTTTCTTAGGCATTAATTGTTGGAAACATACATCATAGTATGTGGAAAAGATGAACTATTTAAAGCAATTTCTAGTGACAATCTAGAAAGTCAGCAGTGAGACAATATTAACAAATTTTAAATATGATTGAGATTGTGAGACATTTACATTAGAAGAGAAAAAAATCATTTTTCTTTTTTTTGGTTATTTGAGACAGGGTCTCGCTATGTAGTCCAGGCTGGCCTCAAATTCACAGTGATCCTCCTGCCCCAGCCTCCCAAGTGCTTGGATTACAGGCATGTGCTGCCATGCTCAACGAGAAAAAAATCTTAAATGATGAATTCAATACAGGATAATACATGTACTTATACATAGAAATGATGGGCATAGCATCTCTATTTAATTATCAACCATTTTTCTTTTTTTTGGTACTGGGGATTGAACTCAGGTCCTGGCGCTTGCGCAGCAGGCAGCAAAACCACTGAGCTAAATCCCCGGCCCTATGAACCATTTTTAAGAAGTATGCTAGGAAAAATTCACTGGCTAAAACAATGAGCAGTAAAGCATAAATTACAAACTGTGAGAATTCTTATTCTTTACCTGAAGAAGTGTAGGAGGCCATGGAGTATGTTTAAGATGCCTTACTTGGGAGATATGACGCCCTAGACTCCGATGGACACTGCAACACTCGTCACATATAAAAGTTCCCCTATTTACTGATGCCCAGGAAGGATCTGGAAAGAGAATGAAATCTCAGTGGCAAGGACATCAGTTGGTTGCTCTACCACAGGACAGAAAAAGATGACTGAGTTTGGTTTTTCAGAAACACAAGACATTTTTGTTGTTTACTAAAACAATATACTAATGTTTATCAATGTATCAAGCTGGTGATGGTCTATGATGACACTACCTTGGGTGATAGAAGTACAATGTTAACTGAGTTGAACAACCCTAAATAAGCAGTTTGCTTCTTTGTATTTCTGTATCCTTAATGTGGATCCACCACCCCAGATGCTCTTTCGTTCCATATAAGAGAAGCAAATGGAGAGAACAGATGAATCATTTGAAATCCATCTCCACAAACAGCAAGATAACCCAATTTTGATAGTGAATTCTTCACATAGCAGTATCTGAAGTAAATGAAATGATTGCTGTCCTAACTGCTACAAATCAATGTCTGTATGTGTTATGCTCTAAACATGAACTGTCCTCTAAAAAGGTGGGGTCTAGAAAAGGGATTGGACCATAAGGGCTTTAACTTCATTAGTGCACTAATCCACTAATGAGATCATAACTTGATGACAATATTTTGAGGTGATGGAAACAGGAAGGTAGGCCTCACTGAAGGGAGTGGTCCATGGGGGGGTATGACTTTGGGGACTATATATGGTATCCAGACTCTTTTTTCTGGCCCTTCCCTACCTGCTTCCTTGCTGCCGTGAGGTGAGCTTTCCTCCAACACACCTTTCCACCATGATGTTTCTGCTTCTCCTTGGAGTTGACTGACCATGGACTGAAACCTCTGAAAACATGGCCAAGATAAACTCTTCCTCCTTCAAATTGTTTATCTCAGGTATTTTGTCACAGCAACAGAAATCTAACTAATATAATAATTAACAGAAAGCTGTGAGAGACAGAATTATAAAATTGTTCAGCAGCTATGGTTCTGAGGGCAGAGAAATCTGGCTTCCTCAACTAGAAAATGTTCTACAAGGGCTGGGGATTTAGCTCAGTGGTTTCGCCGCCTGCTGCGCAAGCACAAGGACCCGAGTTCGATCCCTGGTACCAAAAACAACAAAAAAACCCAAAAATGTTCTACGATATCCATTAGTTGTTTTAAACAAACTACAGTAGAGTTTTACCTTGCAAATGATCTGAAAAAAAAGCTGCTTCACAGAGGCAAAATGTAAAACATAAATGAGTAATATTTTTGGTGTGTGTGGAACTCTTTTTCTTCTGAAATCCTACAGAGCTTCATTAGACATCCTTTTTTTTTGACATCTTTTTTTTTTTTTTTTTTTTCTGGTACCAAGGATTGAACTGGGGTCCTTGTGCTTGTGAGGCAGGCAGCAGAACCACTGAGACATCCTTTAAAACAAGGAATATTTCACACCTGGTAAGCAGGATAGATCTGGGTAAGTAAACTGAGAGCTGAGAAACGCCAAACAAATATAGATCCTCTCTATTTCATCAGCTTCACAATGGGGTGATAATAGGTGTCACTCAAGCTGCCTGGTCTAAGGGTTGTATTTTTTTTGGTACCAGGGATTGAACTCAGGACCTTGTGCTTGAGCTAAATAAATCCCTGGCCGTCTAAGGGTTGTATTTTTAAATTCTTCAATGTCCACAAAAATCTCTAAAATGTATGAACTTCATCTTCACCATGTTTTTTTTGGTACTGGGGATCGAACTCGGGTCCTGGCGCTTCCAATGCAGGCAGCGGAACCACTGAGCTAAATCCCCAGCCCCATCTTTACCATTTTTAACAGTTTATCAAACCTTTCAAGCCATATAATGAAAAGTTACAGGATTTCAATCAAAGACAAATCTTAGGAGCCAGAGAACGTGGTGGTTGTGAAAGTTGGCTCTAGAGACAAGCAGTCCATGTTTGAACCCCAACTCTGCCACTTCTTGAACAAGGATCTCAGGCAAGTTATTTCATTGAGTATGGGTCAAATGGGAACAATACCACCTCTGAGGCCAGTGAGGATGCAGAGTAAGTAAAATACCTCTCATTCAGTAAGTATTCAATAATGCTAGCTGTTTCATCTTTTCTAAATATTATTCAGTTATTTCCAAGAGCCTACTAAAATTCATCAGCACTTGAAACAGTTTTTTATTGGAAATACAATACTTAAAATATTTCACGAGTGCTATTCTATTGTATTAGTATCTCACTGAGATTTTCAGATGACTGAATTTAAGATTAAGTACAATGTATTTAAAATGAACTAGATTCATTAAAAACAACTAAAATATTTAAGATAGGATCAAAGTTAAATACTTCCCATGAAGTAAAATAATTCAGTGAAGTATAATTTTGCTAGTATTATTATGCCATTCTAAGGTGCAAAGATGGGAAATATCAAAGATGAAGGGTCCTTATAAAGGTAGAGAATAATATTGCTTTCTACCTTTACTACTATTAACAACCAAAAATAAACAGATAAACAACCTGTTTGGAAACACAGCTTTGGTTTTGGTTTCTAACATATCATGCAAAGGGGCTGGGGATTTAGCTCAGTGGTGCCGCTGCCTGCCTCGAAAGTGCAAGGTCCTGAGTTCGATCTCCGGTACCAAAAAAACAACATATCATGCAAAGAATTCATAGTATTAGAGGAAATTAAACAGGAACAAAACAAGCGAGGGTTTAACACACATTTAGTGAGTTTCTCAATCACTTAATCTTCATGTATTGGAATCCCACAGAAAGAATATTAACAACATAGAAAATCAAGATTGAGTTTGAGTAAGGTTGAGTGAAACCCTTCCAGTTTAACTGGATGTTTATGGCAGGGCTTTCTATGGATACCGTAAATGGACTTCAAAAATCTCTACCCCTCCCCAGTCTACCTAACAAATTTTGTGTGAAAAAGTACACACACATTTTCTGGGGAGAAGGTCTTAGCATTCATCAGACTCTCAAAGGGGTCCCTAACTGGACAGTAACTCTTTTATGAGGACTCTGCAGGCTTTGTAGAAAAGGCTGCACAAATTCCTAGCTGCTCAAATTCACAGAACATGTTAAGGTAGCCTCATTATATTCAAAACAGGAAGGAAATGACTCAAGTCTCTGTAGATGAGGCATTCAAGACAACTCTAAAATGATACCCTGGAAGAAAAAAAATTCTGAAATGCACAAAACACTGCAAAAGTGCAAGATAATATTTAGGATGGCAATAGAGAAGCAATCTGCCTTTCCCCCATATAATCCAACAAGTAAAGTATATGTATCCTAAGAGGGAGTATGAAGTGAGACGCATGTGAATCAAACACATCACAGCCAAGTTCAACTGAAAATAGGCAAGAAAAGAAAGAAGTGGAGCAAGTAACATTTTCAGAGAAAACAACAGTCTGTGTAACACTGGTTTATAAAACACTTCTTTTTTTGGTTTTGTTTTGTTTTTGGTACCAGGGATCAAACTCAGGACCTTGTGCTTTCAAGGCAGGCGCGGTGTCACTGAGCAAAATCCCTGGCCCTAAAACACTTCTTTTTAAACTCTTCTATTCCCCTCTCTATTGTCAAAGGAAACTGATAACACCACTTGTACTACCCTAGCCATGAAATAACCACATAAAGAGTTATCACAGTACTATTTAAAATCAGTCTCTGTTTCCAAATGACAAGATGAAGATCCGAACAGTTGCAAAGCCACTGGTGTTCAATGATTCACATAAGATCATTTATTGGACACTGTTGTCCCAAGAAAACCATCTGACATTTGAATTAGTTTAAACTTAAAGCTGTTAAGTCCAAGGATAGAAAACAGCATATAATAATCTATCCTGAGACCTGTCAATTCAACTCCAGTTGCTAAAATAGATCTAATCTTTAAGTCTGAACATTACGCACAATAAGAATGGTTTTGACCTTTCAATGCCCCTGTATGCTTACACTGCCACTAACTTTATGTGTATTTGTTTGCTAAAACTGTAATTTAGAAATTCAACTCTAGCTTTAAGGGAATGCCAGGGTTCTGAACTGAATAATATAATTTAAAAAAAGAAAAAAAAACTTAAAAGAGATTATCCTAGCAATATCCATTTTATTTTCCTAATCACCGAAAATGGTAGCACTCTTGATTATCCTTATTTAAAAAAAAAATGAGGAAATCAAAGCTGGACCAAGTCAAGTCACCAGCCCAAGGTCATTGAGGCAAAAACTAGTGTGAACCTAGGCCCTCTGGATCCCCAAATTTAAGACACGTACTGATTCTTAAGTGCTGGTTGTGTTTGCAAGACCCCAACACGGAGATTCCCGCCCCCACGGAGTAGCTGCCAGGATGTCAGGAGTGGGAAAGTCATCCACCAGCACCCTCTGGCAAGTCTCCAGGAGGAAAGCCGGGAGTGTAGCCCACCCAGGAAAGGTCCCCTTGCAGGGACAGGGGTCCGATGAAGGGTGACACCTGCAGCCTCTGGCAGCCGCAGCCAGGAGGGCTCTCGCATTTTACTTCTGTAATTGGCCTTCCTGTGGGTTGCCCAAGCCCCTTCCTGTCTGGGGAGCGGCTCGGGCCCCCCACCACCTCCCTGACTGGCCTGGGACCGAGTGAAGAGGGAACGAAATGGATGAGAGGGAGGCGGCCCCCTCCCCTCCTGGCTGCCAGGCCCGGGAAGGGTCTCGCCTCTGCAGTCTCAGGGCCCCCTTGCTTGAGCCGTGTCTCGGGGTGCGCGGCTCGGTCGCGAGAACCTGTCGGTCTCGAGGGGGCGGCCCCGGGGCAGGGGTCCTGGCAAGGAGCAGAGGGGCGAGGGCCCGGCCGGTGCGACTCACCCGGCCCGCTACAGTCAGCACACACATCGCTGCTCCGAAGTCGCTTCGACATGGCTCCCGCCTTCACCTGCCGGGAACCAGTAGCCCCGGGAAAGCGAAGGCGGCGGCGGTGGCGCTTCCGCTCTAACGGGTCCCAGCGGCAGAGCTGGCAGCAGAGCACCTCCCCTCGGCGCCTCGCAGCAGCTGCGCAGCACGCACGCGCGAGGAGATGTCTTTCTGCGACTGGCAGATCATGTGACCGGAAAGGGCACGTTTCTCTGCCGCCATCTTTAGTGAGGGCAGATGCCGGCTACAGGATCGTGTCTTATGTCTAAATCCTCTTATTTTTAGGTCTCCTTTTCTGGAAGAGATCTGCCTCATACTAGCACTGATTAATATCACAGGAAGCAGCAAAATCTTGCACCTACCACCTCCCTGAGGCGAACAATGATTAAATACTCTATCCAACAAATAGTTATTGAGCATCTGTTTTCCACACTGTTTCAGGTTCTGAAGAAACTGCAGTTAAGAAAGAAGACCTTTCTGGTTCTTATGGAATTTACAGTATACTGAGGGTAGATCTATAATAAAATAAGTAAAATGAGACTATAGGAGATGAATATTTCTTTAAACTGCACTTTCAACCTTACCTTCAAAATAGAGATGATGTATTGTCTACTAATAGTCCGGTTTGTTTTTGTATGGCCTTTTACTTAACAATTATTTCTTTTTTAAAAAATAAGAAAAAAGGGGAAGACGAGGGAAAGGGAAAGAAAAAAAAGAGGAACAAAAATATGCAACAAATTTGTATATAGCCAGAAAAACTAAATATTTACTACCTGGCTAAGGAGATAAATTATGGGAAGATGTGGTAGTATTATAGACAGCTAAGTTAGGTAGAAATATTATAGGTAGTCAGACAGGGCTAGGCCCTCAAGGGAGTTAGTGTAGAGGATGAAAACACATTACAATTGTGGCTGGAGGCACATCTGCTGAAAGCCAGGCCTCAAGATAAAGATGAAATGACCAGACCTACATGCTTCCCCAAGGGATAAGCAATATACTATAATTGGTATCACCTGGTCCAATAAAGTCTGGATAGTCATCAGTCACTCAGGTGGGTGACCAGGACCTCCTGATTCATCTCCCTTAAAAAGCTCCTTGTTCTTTGCATGTACCCTTGCTATGTGACCTGCTTCCTCATTGAATCAATATTACCTAAGCAACTATACTTGTTATCTTATTGGTTGACCATAGTTTTGACCTACAGTGTTTTTCTCTATAAAACTTCCTCTGTGAAGTGAGGTCCACAGCAACCCACTTTTGAATCCCCTCCTGTCTCTCAAGAGCTCTCTCAATAAAAATTTCCTACTCTTAACCTCCGTTGTTCATTAGAATTCATTTTTTGATTTGAGGGAAAACGAACTTGGTGTATCTGACATCTAGCAGGTTCGGAGTTATTTCACCTGTATCAGTAGGACTATTCCATGGAAAGTCTTCAATAAACAGTAGTTCCTACTATTCTTGACATTACTATTATTTTCTAAATACTGATTTTCTTCATATATTTGGAATTTGAGAATAAGAATAGCTAAGCTAGAGTAGTTTATAGGATGGTGTGAAATAAACAATGAGATGAGCTTAACCAGCATGAAGGAGAGAAAGATGTGAGCCAAATATTAATGACTATTTATTGTATGTATTACATGTAAATACAACTATCATCTCCAACTACCAGATAATGGATACTGACTGTAGGCCAGGTACCATCTTGGTTTTTTAGTGAACAAAAGAGATATGGTCGCTGACATGGTGGAGTTTTCAAATAATGAGATAGGCAAGGAAAAAAGAATGAGAAGTCCCAGAAAATGCCTCAGAAGCACTGGTGGGTCCATCTGTCCAGTGTGATAAATGTGCAATGTGGGAATAAACACATAATTTCCACACATTCCACAGCTATAGCCTCTGTGTGCCATCCTGGTGTTTCTGCATTCTGTTTTGGTACAACTCACAAATCTTCTGGGCTCCACTTCCACACGTGTGAAGAATGGATTAGACTAGGATTCTTGAACAGCTGTTGCAAGGCATCTGAAAAGCTGAATATGCATGAGCAGAGAAGGGAAGACAATGTTTTCAGGATGCATTGAATAACTTTGTCGAGCTGCAGACTACTGAAGAGAAGTGGTCAAGGAAGCATTCATAATGCCTGAGGTTCAAACCCAAAGGATGAGCTTGCTTGCTTGCTTTCTTTCTTTCTTTCTTTCTTTCTTTCTTTCTTTCTTTCTTTCTTCCTTTCTTTCTTCCTTTCTTTCTGTCTTTCTCTCTGTCTTTCTTTCTCTAATTTTTGCAGCACCGGGGACAAACTCAGGACCTTCTGCTTGTGAAGGCAGGTGAGGCACCACTGAGCTAAATCCTCGGCCCAGAGCTTTGCTTTTGTAGACTGCTCAAATCCAAGTGTATTAGTCCTTTGAGGCATAACTACAAATCCAAATGGCTAGCTTAAAGATGATACACAAATTGAATAAACCACCACTGTAGGTAGCTCTGAATCTTAACCCAGTTATTAATTCAGATAGAAAAGTAGTTTTCAGATGGAAACAATTTCTCTCTCAGGGGGCATCTGGCACGGTCTGGAGACTGGGAATGGTACTGGTATGGAGTGGTTATTGAGGCCAGGGATAGGGATGCTGCTCAGCATCTACAAAGCATCAGATATCCTCCACACAAAGAATTATCCAGTTCCCGATGTTCCCAAGGTTGAGAAGTCCTGACATAGGACTATATGGAGCCCAAGGTGGTGCTGCACGCCTATAATTCCAGCACTCGGGAGGCAAAGGCAGGATCGCCGTGAGTTCAAGAGATAGATAGAACTCACCAGCCTGGCTACATGGTGAGTTCAAGGCCAGCCTGAGCTACATAGTAAGAGCTTGTCTCCAAAAAAAGGAACTATGTGTCTTATTATGCAAATATCCAAAGCCACTTCTCTAGTTTGAAGTTCCCCTTCAAATATTATTGGCTCTGCCCATTTCCAAAATGGCTTCTAACCAATCGTGGCAGGACCTGCCCTGGTCCAAAAAGGCTCCAAGGGAGTCAGTGGCCAGAATGGTTTGGTCCGGACCCTTGTTGTCACCCTCCACCCCTACTGCGGTGCCAATGGTAGAGGCTCGGTTGTGGGCCGAACCATCTGAGGTAGATGGAGCAGAGGGAGTGAGGCTGGTGATGAGTAGATCGAGCTTTTCATGTTGAGGTCTAGGGCCAAATAATAGACCTATGGCTCTAGTTCCTAGGCTTCTCTATGTTTCCCGTTGTGATGCTGGATGCGGATGGAACTGGGAGGATTTCGGCCCACTGCTTGGCTTCATCCTCCCCTCCGGTAGCCTGTGGTGGTTCGCTCCCCGCACTTCCCTGTTTGGGGCAATTGGGCCCACCGAAGTCGGTTGGGGAGCTGTCAGCTGGGCTGCTAGTGTGAGAGCGAGCGCGTCGGGGCGCTGGGTGGGCGCGGCCGACCCGGTCCCCGACCAGGCCAGCGACCCTACACCTCGCGCGTGCCCACACGCGGCCCCCTCAGCTGCCCGGCCGCGAACCACGCCGCTTGGTGGTCCGCCCGCTTCCTTCGTCTTTTCCTCCCGCCGGCCTCGGAGACCCTGCTGGGGCTGAGGCTTCTGGGAGACGGGTGGCCAGGGCCGGCCGCTACCTCTTCGCCATGTCCTTGGCCCGCGACGCCAGCAGCCACTTTCCCCTCCACCTGCTAGTCTGGAATAACGACTACCGGCAGCTGGAGAAGGTGCTGCGAGGCCAGGTGAGGTGAGGGCAGAGGGAGTGGCAGAAGCCCTTCCAAGTCCCTGAGCCCATTTCCAAGGATCTGCTCCGGGGCCCCAGTTAACCCTTTGACTGTGCAGTCGTGGGACAGTAATATTAATAGAACGTGTATCGAATGCTGTTTGTATGTCGGGCCCTGTTCCGAGGGCTTTTTGTATATCGTCCCGTTAACCTTTCCAGTAGCACAAGGAGGCCAGTACTATTTTTCCATTTGGCAGAGAAGGAAACTGAGGCTCTCAGATGGTCACTTGCCTTTGTGGGAGGCGGCCTGGCTAGTTAATACCACGATGGGAATTTTAAGGTAGGCCAGCTATTAATGCACAGTCTTAACCATTATTAAGCTCCATTACCTCAAAGACGAAAGGCCCACACACACCCCTCTACTCCACCCACCGTTGTTGTGAAGTACTTGGTCGGTTTTAGAATCTGTGTTCTAACTTCCCTGTGACCTTGGGCAAGACATTTTGGTTCTTGGGCCCCATTAACCTATCCATGGAATGAGGATGTTGGTAGTGATTCGGGTAAACCCAGCACAATATTTGATTGTATTAACAGATCTGAGTTGAGGCCTAGGAATCCGCATTTAACAAGCTCCCCACGGAGGCTGATGATACATGGTAAAGTTTAAAGATTGCTGATGCACAGGCTCCTTAAAAACCTCTTCCTGTTCTAAAGTGCTTTGATTCATTGTCTTATTTATTACCATCTCTTTAAACAGTGGTTCTCAATTGGAGGTGCCCCCCCCCTTTGGCAATGTATGGAGACATTTTTGGTTGTTTTAAGTGGGGAGTGGGTGTTCCTGGCATCTAGTGGGTGGAGGCCAGGGATGCAGCTTGACATTCTATGATAGATGAAGCAGCCACCCACAACAAAGAATTATTTGGCTCCAAATGCCCTAGTGTCTTGGTTAAAAAACCATGCTTTAAAGGCATCCCAGTAATTCTAGGAAGTATTGATGCCCTCAAGTTACAAACTAACAGATTTAGCAAAGAGGATAAGGATTTGTAATTATTCTTCAAATCTGATTTAATTGTATGGTTGGCTTCATTTTATTCAGTGTGTTAAAGACTTTTTAAATAGCTCAAAATTGACTCTGTAATTGTCAAGAAATGTCAGAGATTTCTCAAGAAATGTCAGCATTGGCTCTCTTTTTAGTTGGCAAAAATTAAGGACGGTCAGCATCACAGAGTTTGAACACTTACTGCTAAGTGCTTGCAACCTGCCTTATTTAAGTTGGTTGAGGATATACTGGAAGTTAAAAACCTTTTTTTTACATTTCAAAAGGAACTTCAGACAGAACAGTTTTTTAGTGTCATTGTTCTTAATTAGCTGGTGTGTAATTATTTAAAAGTTAAGGAAATATGAGACATGACCCAGACAAAATGATTCACCATTAAGTATCTCATTATA